GTATTATAATATAAAATACTTTCTTTAAAATGTTCTTTTTGTTTTTTTTTAGGATAGCAATTTAGCAGAATTCATAAATGAGACAATGCAATATATCTCCTTGTTAGATAATGAACATAAATTGTTTGTTGAAGCACTTCTTCAAATTGACTGGACGACTAGATCATCACAAGTGATTTTTACATATAAACTCTTTTTGCAAAATTTAGCTTGTATGCAGACGTTTCATACAAATATTGTAATAAATTGTCTCGTTGAATTGTTTAAACCAAGTAAATTTTATATTTATCATAATAATATTTTATTAGTAATAATACAATATTTATTATATTTATTTTTTTGTAATAGAAAATAATACCGAACATGAAATTGGGCAATTTAAGGATGAAGATATAGAAAGGCTAAATCATATACATGATATATTACGTGAAATTTTGAGAGTAGTACCAATGTAAGAGTGATTATAAATTAGTTTTTGTCATTAACATATAATATATGTTATAACTTTTTTAGGTCAAATAATGATTTGCTCGAAGCCATCGAATTACATTTTCCATTTCATCTTATACATGGCACTTACGTACATGAAATTTATCTCCATGCATTATTAGAAATGCTAAATTATGCACCTCAGCTAAGAAGAAATATGTTTATCCTTATTATTCAAAAGTAAGTTTCTATTGGCAAAACTGTTATTCAGTAAATGAAATTTTCAATTTTATTATAATTAATGAAATATAGAAACGTATTACTATTTACCTCATTCTTTTACTGATAACCTTTAACTTTAATTAACCTATTATATAATTGATTTAAATTTGGTATCTATCAACCACTTTCATATAAAATTACTTTTTTTATTTTATTAATAAGATAATAAATAGTATATCTGTATTTTAGGCTAGTGACGTTGGATGTCAATATACCTTGTGAAGAAGCAAACAATAAGGACATTGTAGAAGATGATTGTATTAATAATGGGACAAGTGATAATGATAATCTGACCAAAATTAACAGTGACACAGACAAAAGCAGGACTGTCCATCCAGTTGCACGTATACTAGACTCATGCATGGAATTATTTTTCAAATTTATACACGAGTTTTGTTTTGTGAATGACGTTCTGCAAATAAAGAACCTAGAGATACTATGTAATGATATTGTCTATGCATTCGAAAAAGAAATATTAAATATGTACGGCATTCGATACGTACAATATATCATGTTCTACATATGCAGTTTTGGATTTTCTACAATTAAGGAAAAGTTTATAAATTGGTTGTGGCAGATGGTGGTGAAACCTAATCCTACAGTGCCACCGATTTATCGGCAAACGGCTATTTGTTATATTTCTAGTATGCTTGCCACTGCCTCATTTATCTCTCCGCAGTAATTAGCATATACTTTTGATAACGTTACACAGACAATACGTATCTTAAAAAAGAATGTACCTAATATTTATGCCATTTTCTCCTAGGTTAGTGGAAACAATGATATCTAAAATGACGCAATGGCTGAACAAATATATCACCTCGCAGGAATGTTCGGAATACATTGAAGATTGTGCAAAACATGTTGTATTTTACTCTGTTTGTCAAGCGTTCTTTTATTTATTTGTTGCGAGGTACAAGCATTTTGTATTTGACTTAAAATATGGTGAGTGATTTATATTTACTGTATGAAAACTACAAATTTAACAACGAGATAAATGTGTATAAACAGTCTTTTTATTTTTCAGAAAAATTTCTTCAGAATCTTTCTCTTTCAATATCCAAAATTGTTACTTGTAAATTAAATCCCTTAAAGATGTGCGATACCAAGATTGTTCACGCTTTTGCCCAAACTACAAGAACATATGGACTAGCCTATTGCGATACTGTAATCGAATATAATGAGCGCAATCAATTACCTATTTTTGGAATGGAATCCCATTTGTCTGTTTCAATTCCTAATTTTTTCCCGTTTGAATCTTATACATTAGAACATAGTAGACGAAGAATAGCTCCTTTATTTTATAATAATGCAGCAAATACTGACTGTTCATCAGTTAATAAATATGAATAAAGAAAAAAGTACATAATTCACTTGTATATACATAAATAAATTATAATTACAGAGAGAACAAAATTTGCTAGAAACGCAAAAAGGATTGCAAAATTTAATTGTCAAATTTTTTTGCATTTATAATAAACAAATTTGATTTAGCTTGTAGTAATCGAAAAATATGTAAGAATTGTATAATGATATTTTTTTAAAGTTACTACGTTTTATCGAAAAATTATACAATATAGTAACTTATAAATAAAATGTTATTTCGAAATGATGAAATTAGGCTATGTGTGTATTTTATTAATGCTATATCAATTTAAAAAGTTAACCGGATAAACGAAAAAATTTATATGCTAGAATTTTTATTGAAAACATAAGTTCGCTTAATAAATTTATCCAGATATACCTATTTTACATAAGACATTTTAAATGAGGCCAAATGATAGATAAGTGCAAATACACCAGAAATTCTTAATGTATTAATCCCATGACGTGTCGGAGTAAATTTCGGAAAAATAACAAATGACTCAGATTGAACGAACGCACTAAAGTTAATATTCTTTTGGTCGTTTCGTATTATTTTTCTTTTCATTTTTCGAAATTCCGACGTCACTGGAAAACACTCTTAAAAGTAATCGATTGCTTTTTTTTATATATAATACATTAATGCCCGTTTCTACCAATGTATGTACGTAGATTAACTTTAATCTCAATTTAATTTGCACTTTATCTCTTTCTGAGACACGCGTATATCTCTTTATATAAAATCTCGATTTAATAACTTACCAAGGCGTATATAAGGTAGGCTTCCACTACAATGCCTTACTGATGAGTCCTAGTGTAAGCCGAAACGCCAAAATTACGTGATATTCTTCGCAATATATTAGATTAAATTATGAGAAATTTAGATTTTTAATTGTAATTTGACTCTTACTTCACCCTTTTTAATGTTATTGATTATTGTTATATAAAAGAGTCCTTGAATTTTTCAATTTATTTGTTATCTCTTTCTGTTTTAAAAATTAAAAAGAAAATACACTAAATTAAAATTAAAGTTAATCTTACGTTGGTAATAATTTAGTCTATCTTTTTCTGACTGTTACTATATCTATATAAAAGATAAAATATAATAAATTATACCTAGATTAAAGTCAATCTGCTTTGGTAATAATTTAGTGTTTTTTCCCAGTGAGAAATGATAATGAAATCGACATCGATTCCATTGTCATTTTTCTCACTGGGTTATCTTTTGCTAACTCTTACTATGCAAAAGAAGATAAAATAAATTAAACCTAGATTAAAGTTAATGTGCATTGATAAAAACATGTAAAAATAGACAAATCGCAGAACATATTTGTATTGTGTGGTTCTACACACAGGTTTGAAGTTGTGTCAAACGGAAGTTTAGTGTAGAACGGCTGCGCATTAAAAGGCGCCGAAGGCGAACAAGGAGAGAGTTTAGTGCGACAAGGACAGAGCGATATGTCGACACGCTATCTGCTATCTGCTGTCACACGACACACGAGCTTGTGCTTTTGTGTGAGTGCTACCGGTTGTGCCAGGCCGCCGACCGATGGCGCTAGTGGCGATGTCGTAAACCGTCCCTGAAATGGCATCCGTGGTTGGAAATCGCATCACTGACTCGAATTTGTTACGGCGTGTTTACGACACAATTCATACAAGTGATCGTAAGTATTATTGTTGTAAGCTCATTATTGAGACACATCAGTTATCCTAAAGAAAAAACCAGTTTCGTCGTCACAGTCGTGCATTGTTCGTAATTGTACCAGAAGATTTATGGGTTATCGCCGTGTCTTTTTCTTCATTAGTGATGCCAACGTTTCGTGAACCATACCGTTCGCTTCATCAGGGCGAGGGATGCACTGATACTGATATTGTTCGTAATTCTCGACCATGTGTTTCTCGACCAGTGAATTGTCAGTTATGCCACGCCATGCTTCTCTGTGAGATAACGTGTCGATACCGGCCTTCGGAGCCCCTCCCCGTCCCTACGATTATCCTTTAATCTATGAGACGAGGTTATGAGAGATTCCATTTAAGAACAGTTCCGCGGTCAACTTTTCTGTTTTAAATCTTTGAGAACGTGCCAATTCCGCGTTTATCATCATGATCGGTTCACCTAAACTCTTGAAGTTTTCTCGTTTATCCTCGTGACGGACATCGTATCAAGAAGACGACGGAACGTGGTTGCGATTCCCTTTGTGCTCTGACTTTTAGGTTATGGTCGTTGCGAGCTTTAAACTGTATTCTATCGCGACGATGCGATTGCTTTCAATCACGTTGCTCCATCGCGTCTCTAGAAGATTTCTGCCCTGAGATAGCTCTTGTGTTCGAGAACTGCGTCGCATAGCTTTCTCCAACAAGTACCTTGCAAACTTAAATCAGCTTGTTCTAATTACATGTGGTATCTCTAAAATCACTGTAAATTGCTGTCAAATATAAACATGTTAATGATAACGTTAAGGCATCATGTTTTCATGTTTTCTCATATCTTTTGCATAAAGAAATATTTAAATGTGGACAATCTATTGTTCGTTATAACTGTTCAATCATTTTAGATCATATCTGTTTATTATGTTGAAAACCAACCTTTTTGTTGCATCACTCTATTTATCTCATATTATTCACAGGTCAGGTTAAATTAATTTTTTGGAACAAGTGTTAAAATAAATTCATTGAGCTTGACACTTTTCTCCTCTTAATTTAAAGTCTTAAGTTGTATTGATCATTATGAATGCAGTGATCAAGATCTGTATTCTATACATACTTATCAATAGTTGTCGATGTCATTATGTGTCTCTAGATTGATTCGTGTTGTATAGAATGAGTAGGAGCATGTTGGAGTATATGATGCAAACAAACCTCTTTCTCTTGTTTTTTTTGTCATATACATATAACCTATTTTATAATTGTGTAAGCATAGTTGTAAGAATTGACTAATTATTGTTGAATATGAGGAAAATCTTCAACTATGATTGGTTAATTCTTACAACTACAACCACTTACAACTATACTATGCAATTGTATAATGAGATCCAAATATCTGTGCAACAACACATAACGACACCAATTGTTGATAGGCATATGCAGAATACAGGTCCAAACTCAGCCAATACATTAAAGACTGTCTATGGAAGCAGCTTACTAGTAAGCTGTAAATAAAACATTGACAATTTAAAATAAATAAGATATTGACAATTGCATGTGATAAGAGTAATTAAGGCTATGGCATAAAAAATGGTAGCAGTAAGATCAGAAACGTTTATAACGTAAGTAATAGCAAATCAATATTGATTTTTTTACTGCTTAAATTTTTCTGTATACCATGGTCTTAATCGACTATCACTGGCTTCGATTTTTTACAGTTTACAGTATACTACTTCCATCATAAGCAGCCTTTTAATGATTGATATACATGCGGATATTATTTTTTTTAATTACAAATTAATAAATTAGAAACTAACATAAGAAAGGAGGCCTATACAAAGAATTTTACATTAGTTGCTCTTATTTCATTTACCACGAGTTACGTATACTCCAAAATTTGTTGGAACGTATCTTGTGATGTAATTTATGTGTTATTTCTTATTAAATATAAGATTACAAATTGTTGTATCTTTTAAAAATTAAGAAACACACAATGAAAAGCTAGATAATAAGGATGGGAAATAACAGATTTTAACCTATCAGAAACCATATATTTTGATGTAATTAATAGGTTGAAATTTGTTATTTTGTTTCTATTCCCTATGTTTTTCATTAAGTGCATCTAGTAGTACAATTACTCACTAAAAGGCTAAGTAATAATTTAATTTGATTGGTTCTTATCTTTAGATCCAATTAATCACACAAAGGTTGTATTCTGTTATTTACTGTGAGTACTAAAAATCTGAAAATTCACGTTATATATATGTACTATAGCTTTTCAGTACTTGCAGTAAATAACGAAATAGACCTAAAATTGCAACTTAATAAATGATTGTGCTACTGGATTTATCTATTGGATTTATGCTTTCCATTTAGTATGACACAAGTGATCACAAACATTATTCCATCTTTCTTAGCAATCAATGAGTAATAAAGACAGAACAACATTTGTGATGATTTGTCATCAAATGGAAAGTACCAGTAATTTCCAGGCCCTAATATAAGTGAGCTAATAATATACATATTTACTATTTTCAAATTTATTAACATTTTTAATAATTAATTGCATCAGTGGTGATATATATACATATATGTCAAGTAATATATACATACATGTATGAAATTCGATAATCTTGAATAATATATTTATATTTTCTCTTATTAAAGTTCCTTTTATATAATATCTTTGATTAAGAAGCTTACAATAATGTTTCATTGTGTCAATATTTCAAATTATCTTTTTATTATATGCTATTATAATTTGCAAATTTATGTTTGGTAAACAAATTAACACATTTTTATAATCTAAAATATATACACGATTATTGTTATATTATTTCTTTTTTTATATGATATAAGATATCTCTTTGAAGTACATAAATTGTACAAAAATTTATAATTTTCTTAAATCGGAAAAAGATGCGATAAATATAAATATTTTAATGATAACGATTAACAGTTAGAATCGGTATTTAGAATGTTGAAAAAAAATTACTTTCGGTCATTGTTCACTTTAGGGGAGCCACCTCCAACGACCTTGACCTTGACATATGTTGTCAAGGTAATGACCCTGAGTAACCTCCAACAAGTTTTAGCCGTCGCTCGCTCTTCGTTAAAAAGTTATGATCAAAAAAAGTTTGAAAAATTACGTTTTATTTCTATTATACAGCGTGACTTCCAAGCGAAGTATTGATGTATTTTTTGATATAATGGCTCGTTTTTACTCACCATATCGCGATCAATGAATAATTTATTCAATAGTAATAAAATATATAATTATGAATACTTCTGAATTATTTCTTCAATACATGTATGATGTTAAGTACTATTCTACACCTTTCCGTATTCAGAAACGTTAAACTTTTCACGCGAAGTAACTTTCACCCCCCC